AAAATTTCATAACAATGAACCTAAGGATATACTGAGAAAGTCCAATTGAAAGAATTGAAGGAATTTAGAGCTACTTCAGAGCCTTTTTGTAAAGGACTTCAGAGATAAACACAAAGCTGAAGAAGACTCGAGAATCCACCAACAGTCCTCCTCACCCCACTCCGGCAAGACTTACTGCAGCAAAGCCACCATCTCTACTGCTGCTATGCCCTATTTCTGTCCTACCAGCTAGCCCCTTCGCTAGCAGGACGCGTGATACCTTTCTCTCTCGATCCCTTTCCTTCACGTTACTCAGAAGAAGGTACGGGAATAGACTGCAAAATTCCTAAAAAAGCCCCCAATCCCACAAAATCCCTAACAGATCCTTCCAAGGATCTCCAACACTGTCGTATTCCCTGCCGAGCTTCCAGGCCTCACACCCCCCATCCTGCTGGGTTACAGGGCAACACAACTCACCCCAGCTCCGGCCAGCGTTGTCTCAGCAGCAACCCTTGGTTGTCCCGTGGGATACCCCCCCAAAGCAACCCCAGATCTCTCTACCAGGCCTCATGCCCCTGCGTCAACAGGTTACAGGGCAACACCCCAGCATCGGCCAGCGTCGTTCTGGCGTCGAACAGCCTTAGGTCACCGAGTATTACAGCCTTGAAACTACCTAGAAGAGATTGCCAGGAAACCCCAGGATCCGGAAGACAGTTTAAAGACGGAACAGACTACCCCCTTTTTTGAGAATTGGATTTAACTACGTAAAAATTCGTAATTGCAAACATAGACGAAGACCTGGTGGGTCCTACAGATGCTCAGAAACCCTTCAAATCCCTAACGCCCCTTCTGAGGCCTTTCAACACTGTCCTACTCCCTGTCGAGCTCTTCCAGGTCTCACACCCCACATCCTGCTAGGTTACAGGGTGACACAACTCACCCCAGCTCCGACCAGCGTCGTCCCAGCAGCAAACCTTAGCTGTTCCGTGGGATGCCCACCCCTAAGCATCCCCAGATCTCTCTACCAGGCCTCATGCTCCTGCATCACAGGTCACAGGGTAACACCCCAGCTCCGGCCAGCGTCGTTCTGGCATCGAGCAGCCACAGGTCCCTGAGAATAACAGCGTCAAAAATCACCTAAGAAGAGTTGCTAGGGATCCCAAGAGCCCAAAAGCATTCTTAAGACCCCCGAACAGCCATCTGTAAAAGGAAAGAAAGAGGGGGGGAAGGTCAAAACTAAATACCAACCAACCTAAAATCCCCCCCTCAACAAAGGAGCCGTCGGTCTCGACTTTCAGTCCTCGAACCAGAACACAGTTGGTCTCATACCCCCTTCTGCATGGGCAACAGGGCACTGCAACCTTCCCCAGTACCGACCAACCTAGTTCTGTCGGATAGGAAGTTTCTTCCTCCCTCGACAATTCCCATAGCGACTAACCCCTACACAGGTTACAGGGTCAGAACCCCGGCGCCGCTTGTGTTGGACGATCTGGTTATACCTTCCACCCTCGGCATAATTCCATGGGCCTCAAGCTCCCCCCTGGGTCACGACCTAATCTATAGATTCTCAAAATTTCAGATTTTTCTGCAAATTCCTCCGAGCACAAAAAATTGCCAAAGTTGCCTCTTGCAAATTGCTGCACTGGGCCCCCCTGTACCCTCCGCCTTGGACAGCCTGTGTGTGGGACTCCAGACAACACCCGACAACCGGTCCTTACGTTTTTCAAAAGTCTCGGTTCTACAAGAGCTAGCTGTAGGTAGTCCGCAAGGACCGGTCCCCCAAAAACTTTTGCCCTCTAAGAACCCACTTTGAGTCCTTGTCGCCCGCCGACGAAAATGCGACACCTTGACACAGACGCCGAAGCCCACTATACCACAGCCTTAGGGCTGCGAATACCGACCGGGAGGATCCAGCTGACTATCTCAGTTGGTTGGCACCAAGTGTACCATAAACTTTTTTTCTTTTTTCTTCCCTCTCTCAATTTCACCTTTCACTATCTACCAGTACTCCTGGGGCGAGGTCCCACTAGCAAAGAGGATTGGATTGAACCCCTTAATTTGGCCGCGTTTGTCGACCAGTGCAGAAAATCAAGATTGAACTCCTTTTCTGCATCTCTGCCTAAAACATGCCCAGATTCAGGATCTTAATCCAATCCCCCTCGCCAGTGGGACCATGCTCCTGAGCCTATACAGGGGACCCTTGCAAGCATAGCTATCTCAGCATTATGTCTAAAGACTCCTTTTCTGCAAAAATCCTATCAAGAACAAAAGAAGACCTGATTTTCTTCTTTTTCCCTGCCGTCTTCTCTACGACCAACACCTTGCCAAGTACCAAATGGCCTACCTTTCTTCCCAGGAATACAAGGTCATTATAGCTGTATTTAGCCTGAATAGAATGACGTATTTACGGTCATTATAGATGCATTTAGACTGAAAGTTAGTCCAAACGCAGCTATAATGACCGTACGTTGTATTCGGGGAAAGAAGGGTAGCACAGTTGGTATACCCCTGTTCTGTTGAAATAGGGACCTGACTTCATAACTCCACCAAGCAGATGAGTAAGGCCTGGACCCCACAGGAATTCCTTTGGAAAAGACGTTTCCGCAGAATGGCCGTCGGAAGAGTCTTGGCAAGTTTGGAAAGCCTTCTGCGAGGACCCCACAGCGGAGGCCGTTTTGCGGCAAAATGCGGATTGAACTTTCCATAATAGGAAATGTGCCGGGGGTGCCATCCCGAGTGACCGTCCGAGTGACCGCCCCTGGAGCCTAGGAACCACCAATGTCCGTTGGAGGGCGACTTCGGGTGGCGGTTGACGGAGTGGTGTGACACATGGACGACAGTGTAGGCCGCTCGGACATCTTCTACTCCCGCCTGAGCTGGAGACCTTGGAAACTTCGCGATGCACCGCCCCCCAAAGTTTGAGAGTCGGCACAAAATTGCGGCGGAAATCCCTCCCGCGTCACTTTTCTATGCCGCAGACCATGTGGAAACGGTTTCGGAAGCTTTTCCACGCCACATTCCGCGGCCTGTGGGGCCCCGCAGAATGATTCCGCGGAGTAAACCAAACCTTTCCATGACCTTTTCCGGGGCATGTGGGGTCCCGGAAACAATTCCGAGGCAAAAGTTTTCCTTGCCGCATTCCTGTGGGGTCCGGGCCTAAGGAGTGGACCCCACTGCCTGGCGGAAGCTTTCCAGGAGGAAGGAGGAAAGCTTCCGCCAAACCCAAATCGTAGGGCCCCGCGATGGGAAACAGAAAAGCGGCCCCACTGCAGCACGAAGTTCGGCAGGTCCGTAGTTGCTGGTTATCCTATAGGGAAAACTTTCCCTATACAGAAACTTCACATCCTGCTTGTCTCGGCCCTCGTCCAATCCCTGGCTCTCCCTTCCACATGCTATGGGCAAACCGAGGGGGGTGCCCCCCCCCCTCTAACCCGAGGGGGGTGCCCCCCTTCCCCCCTACCCAGGGCAAGTGGGGATACTGACCGTAGATAGCACAAAGGCCGAGATCTCCTAATTTGCGCAAGTGGGACCTTGCCCCCGGTCAGGATGGCCGAACCGCAAGGAACGGGCAAAACCAAACTGAGTGGAAACCCTTGCCACGTCATTTGTCAGCGTTTTCCACAGCTTTTCCGCAAAGAAGTGGGGTCTCACAAATCGTCTTCCAAAGCTTTGCAGCAAAGCGGTGGGGTCGCCCGTTTCTGTATTTCTTTTTTTTGTTTTTTTTTTAAATGTATCTATTTTTTCGGTCTTTGACTGGAACTACTTGCTGTGATGTCCCATCCCGAGCAGTGTATCTGGGGATAACGGACAGCTGGGAGCATGTCAGAGATTGAAGTAGCGGGTCGCAGCGAGTAATACGGGACAGGTCAAGCCGCTGAAGTTGCAGTTCACCTGATGAGTCGTGCGTCTTCTTCCTGCTTCCCACTTCCCGCTTCAACGTCCGCTTTCCGCTTTCCGCTTTCCGCTTCCACGTCTGAAGCGGAAAACCGTTGAAGCTGCGGTTGACATGAGTTGTACGTTGCTCGAACGCACGCCACATTGCTGCCACGTGTGCAGGCGTGCGCTATCGATCTCCTCACGCCACATTGCTGCCACTTGTGCAGGCGTGCGCTATCGATCTCCTCCTGAGGAGAAGGAGAAGGATAGGAGGAGGAAGGCGAAGAAAGGAGGGGGTATAACAGCAACAGCAGCAGCAGGAGGAGGAGGAGGATCTAGGGGGGGAGAGGAGGAGGTAGCGGAGGTGCAAGTCGACGGGATGTCGTCGTAGTAGGAGGAGGTTGGGGAGAGGAGGTTGGGGAGCCAAAGAGGGAGCCACCGGAGGGAATGCAAAACAAAAACCCAAAGAAGGAAAAGGAAGAAGCAACCTTCCTGGCATCTTGAGGAAGTGAGAACCACAAAAAAAAAAAAAAAAAAAAAAAAAAAAAAAAAGAGAGAGAGAGGAGGAAGAGGAAGGAACCAACCTATATCAGGGGAGAAAGGAGAGAGGAGGAAGGTGTTCAAGAAGGAGGAAAAAAAACTGAGCGTGCCGCGGTGATGGCGGTGGCTTCGTCGTCTCTTTTTCGGGATCGTCTTGTGCTTGATCTGGTTCGTGCAAAGGGTAGAGTGATCGAGATCAGCCATACATCGACGGTCAGGGAGGCGCTTCAGAAAATGCTGGCCACCGATATCTTGGCCCTTCCAGTGTATGCTCCACCGGGAGAATGGGCGGGGGCGGGCGGCTCGAATGTGATCACATCAGGGGACGTGCTGGCAGGGACCCCGACCAGACAGTACATTGGTATGATAAACATGGTGGACATAATGATGCATTTGTCAGATAACAGACGGGATCCCGACTGGGCACTCAACGCGCCAGTCACGGCGGTAATTGGACAATCCATCGAAGGGCTAAGCCTGTGGGTTGCGGCACCGACCACGACGTGAGTAAAGGCTATAAATAGAAAGTCTTAGAGAGAGATACGCACGCAAAATGCATCACGCTTATTATCTTCTATCCCTCCTCCTCCTCCTCCTCCCTGCGGCTACTACTCTTGTAACCTCTATCATGACCAGGTTGTTCGTCTGTTCTTGACTTTGATTTTTTTTTTTTCCATTTTTTATTTGTTTGCTTTTTTTTTTTTTTTCCATTTTTTTTTTTTTTTTTTTTTTTTTTTTTTTTTTTTTTTTGAGGTCATTTCTAGATTAGTGCCTGCTGATCTTCTTACGCAGGACGTGTGCTGTATGTTTCCACTAATTAGCAGTCGAATCGATTCTTCACTCAACAAACGCAATAATCAGCCGACAAAACAATCAATCAATCAACCAAGTAATCAATCCATCAATCAATCAACTCAATCAGTTAATTAATCAATCAAGCAAGCATTCAATCCATCAATCGATCGATCGTTCAATTGACCGTTGGATCGATTAGATCAAACGATGAAAAATCGAACAAGGGCTCTGAAACGTACAAAAGCAAGCAACGTATGAAATATAACGAATCAAATTTAAAAAACTCGAATCAAATATAAAACGCGCAAAGAGAAGAGTGACAGCAGACTCGTAGATACTGATTTTTGTTATCCAACTCAACCGATCGATCACCAACCGCAAACGATCGATCACCAACAATCGATCGGTTATAAACGATCCATTGATTGATTGATTGATTGATTGATTCGTCGGTTACAAACGATCGAAATCCACAACACTCGATCTGTTGCGAACGATCGACAGCTGGTGATCGATCGTTTGGCAAACGGCTGATCAGGTGAGTTGGATGATGAGCAAGCAATCAATCATCTTGATTAATCGATTGCAAAATTTCTGAGCCAATCATCAGAGAGCAACCAATCATCTTGATACGATAGTGAATCCTTGTAAAATGACTCTGGCGATCCAAGGTGAAGGCCACATGTTCAAGTCTTGTAGAGATCGACTGCAAGGAAAAAAAAAAAACGGAATCAAGAGTCTATCATATGAAGTAGAATAGGTTCGAACAGATCGATCGAGGAGGAAACCAATCAAGGGGTTAATATGGGGATTAGCTGTGCATGACCATCCATTGAAGACAATTGTAATTGATCACGATGAGGAGTGTCGTCGTCAAAAGGAGAGAAAAACCGCCGAGCATCCAACGAGTTAACCATCCAATCAACCAACCAATCACCAGCCAATCAACCAACCAATCAATCAGTTTAATCGACACAGAAAACGGAACTAAACGATCTGATGAAAGTATTCAAATACTACTATGTTGTAGAATTAATCCGCGATAGGTAGGGCGGATTGCCAACGAGGACGGAGGCTCTGAAAGGATAGGACATGCTTCGTGCGTGTCCCGAGGAGGCGTACGCTTCTCCCGATGTGTGTGCGTGTGTGTGTGTGTGTGTGTGNGAGAGAGAGAGAGAGAGAGAGAGAGAGAGAGAGAGAGAGAGAGAGAGAGAGAGAGAGAGAGAGAGAGAGAGAGGGTGTACGAGTGGCGCGTAGCCAAACAGATGGACTACTAAGCACTACCTGTGGGTAATGTGTGAGTTGAACTGATGAGCGCGTCCTGAGGCACTGACTTGTCAAAACGGTCATTACTTCACTGCAAAAAGGGTTAAGAACAGGTGGACACTGCTCCCTTAAGAATTCTACCAACTTGTTAGGATTTGAAGCGGGCGGAGAGTACCAGTCAAGGAGTTAATCAGTCCTTAACAATATGCCCATTTAATCAATCGAGCAGTTAATCAACCAAGCGATGGCAACTTGACGTAGGAAATGGGTACGCCCGGGTGCACGTGCACGCACAGACGCTGACACACGCACGCACACACGCGCACACTCACGCACGCACGCACACACGGTCACACACGCACGCCACGCACACACACACGCTCACACGCACGCACGACACACGCTCACAGGCACGCACGCACACATGCACGCACGCACACGCTCACGCGCACTCACACACGCTCACACGCTCGCACGCACGCACGCACGCACGCACGCACACACGCACACACGCTCCCACACTCGCATAGACACGAACACGCACACGCATGCACGCACGCAGGCACGCACACGTAGACACACACACACACACACACACACACACACACACACACACACACACACGCACGCACACGCACACACACACACACACACACACACACACACACCCTCTCATACACACCCGCACGGACACGCATTCTTTCTTCGGATTTCTGTTTTGTGCTTCTTAAGCTGTCTGCTTCTGTTGTTCAGTGGCTGAGTGTTGCGTAGATAAATGAGCTCGTTGGTTTTGTACGAGATAGAGTGCCTCGGCTCGCCACTTGCGCACTATGAACACTAGGTTGTACATTTCTACCCTCTCCTTCGAGATACAACCTGCCATTTTGTGCAGTTAGCGACGCCCAATCCTCGTGTACGGGCCTCGCGAGACCACTCCACGTGCATGGGCCTCGCTACACCACGTGCACGTGCATGGGCCTCGCGACACCACTCCACGTGCATGGGCCTCGCTACACCACGCGAGCGCATAGTGGATTGCATCTTCCTACCTTCGCCGTCAAGATACATTTGCCGTTTTTGTGCAATCAGCGAGCGAGTGGTGTGGCGAGGCCCATACACTGGGAGTGGAGTCTAGTGCGGCCATGCTAACAAAAAGGTTGACGTCAGCAAGGTCTTCCCTGGGTCAGCAAGGTCTCTTTTTTTTTTTTTTTAAACGAAACCAAAACATTCATTCCAATTTAAGTGTCGAGGCCGGGGACCTCACAATTCAACCCGGTGGTTACTGACAGCATCAGCCAGCTTAGCTTACAGGCTAGGCCTGCAGGAAGTCTGCTACAGACTTTCCCAATTCCTACCTTCTGAGCTGTAGATGGTGGAGATGAGCAGCCCTTCTATGCTAAAACACCACTGACCTCTAAACAGTCCCATCACCGGAAAAATAATCTTTGATGAATACGGGACGTTGAAAGTAGACCAGATTGAACAAGCAGACTTAAATACCTGACCCTAGGCTGTGACCATGTGGGACTAAGCCGGCCCACTGGACACCTACCTACCCTACTCTCAGACACTCGCCTAGAGGTCTACCGCGACCCTAAGCAACCGAGTGCCCTGGTTGGACGAAAAAAAAAGGGACTAATCTACAACGAAGATCCTACAGCTAAATCCTCAGGGAGGGTCGAACAGCCACTTGGACAGGAACAACCCTCTTGACCTATGCACTCCGGCCAGTCTGTTTTCCACCGCCCAGGTTCTCAAAAACCACCACAGTCTGGGCCTGGATGCAGAACCTTTCTTGGCCCGTCTTCTCCAGTCAATAACGATTGCTTGCCGAATGCCTTTCTTGATGGCCGCTTTGAGGTCGATATCAGAGTAGGGTCTCCTCTCAAAACGGGAGCGGTTTCTGTCTGCCCAGATTACTGTACAGATAACCGCCCTTACCACTTGTGCCATATAAGCCCATCCTCTCTTCCCAGTGTTATCCTCCGGGGAACCCCAGCAGGACCCATCTTTCCTCCCACACAATATCCTTGCCTCCCATCTGTTGACAGTGTTGGGCCCACCATCCCCACATGCGTCTCGAAGCCGGACAGTCCCACCACAGGTGGCGGGTGGACTCCAGGGATTCTGTGCACCTAGCACACCCCAAGGATACTTCTACTCCCCTTCCACAGAGCCACACCGCTGAGGGAGTGACCAGCATGGAAAGCATCCATAAGAGGCTGGCCTGCTTAACGTTGGGTAGTTCCAAAAGGATACTCCAAAGCTTCCTGAAATCCTTCTCAGCTCCTTGCAAGTCTTCTAGCAGCACTGTGCTCGAGCGGGAGATCGCTACCGATGCTGGAGACCTGGTCCTCTTATCCGCTAGGCGATAAGAAGTCTGTGAGGAGAAGTTGGATAGGCCGATTCCTTGAGTAGTCGCTGCCCCTCTTTGATTTCCTTTCCACCCCCAGGCTAGAGGGTCAATAGACAGCTTCCTGAGTGGGACTCTTTCCACCCATCAAGAATGAACCACCCGCCCGTATCCATCCCTTTCTTCCACCACTCGAATCTGCGGAGGGTTAGCCCATTCTTTCACTGTCACCTCCTCAATGTATTCTAGCATCCCATCCGCGTTAGTTACTCTTCAGCTTTGCACTTCTCTAAAGCCTGACATGGTAAGGCTGAGTAGCTTCCATGCCGCCTGTTGATTGTCTGTGGTGGTGCCTGCATACCAGGTGCCCGGGGGGTCAAGGCCCTCTGGGCCCAGCAGGGCCGCCCAGTCCGGGGGGATAGCCTGAATAAGCGCCGGCCAATTTATTTCCACTGAGCGAAGGTTATGCAGAGTTGCTTTGACTCCCTCCAGCGGCTTCCACGTCCCCAGTACATCCGACCATAGATCAGCCACAAAAGTGACGCCCCACCGGATCCATGCCTTTCCAAATGCACCGGATTCTGGGCCTACAGAGAACTCGTTGTCGTCATTGGCTAAGATCCTTGGATTTTCGAACAAGCACTGCCTCAAAACTTCTTCTTTAGTGCACGGTGAGGTCTGGAGATCAGGGGGGTGAGCGATCCAGGCTTTCCTCACCGCCTCCCAGAATTCAGATTTCAGTTTCTTCTTCATGAAGGATTTCATGAAAAAGCACCCCCACACGTCCTCTGGACGGAGCACCTGCCATTCCCTCATCAGCAGGGTTTCTGCCAGCAGGATCCAGTCATCCTTGTGGGAGGCCATGGCCAGCTTCGCAATTGAGGCTCTGAGTTGAGCCTGGTTCTTCCTTTTTGGGTCGATCAGGCCCAGACCACCTTGGTCTTTGGGGTAAGTTATCAGTTCCCACGCCACTTTGACAAGAAATCCTTCATCCGCCATTGCTCGGGGTTTCCACAGAAACCTGGACACCAGTCTCTTAATTACTGCCAGCGCAGTATCTGCCACCTCTCTGACCGCGCCGACGAACCA